CATAAGGTTCCTTATCACATCCACTCTACTCAACTGGACATCCATAATGTTCCTTATCACAACCACTCTACTCAACTGGACATCCATAATGTTACTTATCACATCCACTCTACTCAACTGGACATCCATAATGTTCCTTATCACAACCATGCTACTCAACTGGACATCCATAATGTTCCTTATCACATCCACTACTCAACTGGACATCCATAATGTTCCTTATCACATCCACTCTACTCAACTGGACATCCATAATGTTCCTTATCACATCCACTACTCAACTGGACATCCATAATGTTCCTTATCACAACCACTCTACTTAACTGGACATCCATAATGTTACTTATCACCATCTACTACTCAACTGGACATCCATAATGTTACTTATCACATCCACTACTCAACTGGACATCCATAATGTTCCTTATCACATCCACTACTCAACTGGACATCCATAATGTTCCTTATCACATCCACTACTCAACTGGACATCCATAATGTTCCTTATCACAACCACTCTACTCAACTGGACATCCATAATGTTCCTTATCACATCCATTACTCAACTGGACATCCATAATGTTACTTATCACATCTACTACTGAACTGGACATCCATAATGTTACTTATCACATCCACTACTCAACTGGACATCCATAATGTTACTTATCACATCCACTACTCAACTGGACATCCATAATGTTCCTTATCACATCCACTACTCAACTGGACATCCATAATGTTACTTATCACATCCACTACTCAACTGGACATCCATAATGTTACTTATCACATCCACTACTCAACTGGACATCCATAATGTTCGTTATCACATCCACTACTCAACTGGACATCCATAAGGAAACATCATGGATGTCCAGTTGAGTAGTGGATGTGATAAGGAACATTATGGATGTCCAGTTGAGTAGTGGTTGTGATAAGTAACATTATGGATGTCCAGTTGAGTAGAATGGATGTGATAAGGAACATTATGGATGTCCAGTTGAGTAGAGTGGTTGTGATAAGTAACGTTATCACAACCACTACTCAACTGGACATCCAAAATGTTCCTTATCACATCCACTACTCAACTGGATATTAATATCCTTCCACTTCACATCCACTCTACAGAGCTACATTGATACTGAGGAAGTAGGTGATGTAATATTGACGGAGTAGATGATGTAATATTGATGATGTAAGAATGTATTATACACGTTCTACAGAACACAAGTATGAAATCCCGGGTAAGAATTAGTTTTTAGTGTACTTACCATTCATTCTAACACCAGAAAGGAAGACCTCCTTAGTTCGAGTTCTGTTCTGGCCTTCTCCACAACCAAAAGTTCCAGTTGATCTGTATCGGAACTGTAAAAGGAGTCGGCGATCAGCTGCGCCACCTCGTGGTGCTTCATCTTACCAGTTTTGAAGCCGTTTACTTCCAAAATAATATGCCCCACTTTCAAACCACCAGCCTCAAACGCCGCTCCAGAGGCCTGAAATCGATCCAAAATGGCGGTCTGTTAACTCTTCAAGCATGTTAATATAACATCTAGTGTACATGTCGGAAGAAAGAGGCTACTCTCGAAACCTTTGCTTTTTAAAACAAAGACAGCGACCTCTAAATGTCGATTTGATATAATTATAATAAGAAAGTGATAGATCTGCGAAACACCCTACCGGCATTTCTCGTATTCGCGCGAGACTACGTTTAGTTTTATGTGGTGTCTCAGCAATTACAGCGCGAATATATTTCACCTCACCCCCTCACCTTTGTTCCAACCACTTTAAACTATTGATATCACAGACATCTCTTTTAAATCAAATAGTAGATGTGGTAGATTCTGATTTAAAAAACAAAAATGACGTCCTGGAAATGGCATTTGAAATCATTGAAAATACGTCTCAGCTATTTCTCGCTATCGCAAATATATTTTCGTCGTACTTGTCATTCCATATATATCATGTAGGAAAACAACCGGGTACGTTTTGCTTTCTTCACACTCAGACATGTATTAAAAGCCTCTCCCCCCC